ATCACTTATACACATCAAGCACTGAGAATCCGTCATCTCCTTTAATTAGCCATCCTTAACCCCTAGCTGTCGACACAACAGCTGGAGTTGTTTGCTTTTGGGTTTGGGTGCTGGGATAGACACCTGTACATTCCAGGCAGACGCTCTACCACTGAGCTCTGCCAACCCCCAAATGTGACTCGAGATCAGCCAGCTAGAAAGGATGAATCTGAGATTCAAGCCACAGCTGCCTCTGTTACTCCAGAGCCCACCTCCTTACTCCACACGATGGAAACGAGTCTATTGGGTCAAGAGGAAGAAGGCAGGACTTACGAAATCCTTGCTTTAACTGGTAAGACTGTCACGAGCTCATCAGGGGCCATAGCTGCAGGCCATGGTGCTCTGGGAAGTAACCTACGCACTGCCCGACCCAGCCCTGCTTGTCATTTCTATATTGCATAGGGCCTTAGCGTAAAACCACAACCGCCCAGGACCTGTCAATGTAGGGACCTGGCTGTTGAATTGAATTGTTCAGGAGCTGAACTGGGATTGTGTCACCTGGTAGCTATTGTTACCAACACGAGGCCTGGGCAGGAGAGGACAACAGTAGATGACCCTGAGCCAATGATTTGAGGCCACAGCAGGACCTGGAGCCACAGCAGAGTTGCCACCACTGCCTGAGTTGGCACCGCGGGAAGTAAAGGAAGGATGAGAAGAGGCTCCCTGGCATCCCCAGTCTCCACTCCTCAGCCTTCCACTTCCACTCATTTGACCAAACCTACTGGGCAGCCGCGGCCAAGGGAGCCCTCTGCAGTGTGCAACAGAGAGTGGAAAGTGGTGGGCAGGGTGAGGGTGGGGATGACGGTACAAATGCAGGCAGAGAAAGACACCGTTCGCACCCAGACAGCTCCCCTTGAAGGTGGTTGTCTTATCCCATTGTAGAGATGAGGACACGGATGCTTAGAGAGACCAGATGGCTGACTCGGCAAAGTGAAGCAACCCTCAGGATTAGACCCAGCTCCGTGTGTCTGTCTCCACGGCTTGAGCAAGACTAGTCCGCTCAGGACTTCATGATTCATGAAGAATTCCATAACAGCAGGAGCAAGGTGAAAGAGAGTCCTTGAGATTCTAAGACTTGACCATGGGGTCAGAGAGCAAGGGCCCGGGGAACGGCAGCCTCCACATTGCCTTCTCCTCTGACCCTCAAGTCTTTGCAGTACCTTGGAGAGGAAAACTCTATTAAACGACAGCCAGGACTCTTGCTCGGAGGACAAAGGGCAATTTTTATCTTCCTTGTGTGCCTGAAGGCTTGCTAGTTTTTTTTTTTACAAGGAGCATGCATTGCTTTGCTGGTCATCTTTAGGCAGCAACGAACTGGTTGTCGGCCACAAGGAAAGAACTCAGCAGGAATTTCAGTTGAGGCAGAAGGATGAGAGCAGGAGGCCGGACCTCCTAGCACAGATGGCTTCTCACTGCACTCTCACCTGCTCCCGTGACAGAGAACAAAACCAGATCTAACACAATGCCAGGGTCTGGGCTGTTCTTCACAAACACATACACATGTGTGTGCAAACATACACATGTATTCTTACATACATAAACACGTGTGTATATGTTCTTAGAAACAAGCCCACAATGCATGTATGTTTATACCCACAAAAACATTCAGAAGCACACTGTCATGCATATACAGATCTATATATCTACACGTGTACCCCATGTATACCCAACATATTTGTAGCCATGATAGACATCACGCAGACAAGCTCTGTTTCACTTTTTGAGTGAGACTTGGAGATGGGAGTGAGGTTCAAAGGTAAGAGTGCTTGCCTAGGTTGTATAATCCTTGGATTCCATTCCCAGCACCACAAATCAATAAACAGATAAGATAGATGATAGATAGATAGATAGATAGATAGATAGATAGATAGATAGATAGATAGATAGATAGAGATAGATGAGAGAGAGAGAGAGAGAGAGAGAGAGAGAGAGAGAGAGAGAGAGAGGGAGGGAGGGAGGGAGAGAGAGAGACTTGACAAAGCTTTCCTGACTTAACTGTCTCGTAAGGAATTCTCTGCCTCCTCTGGGCTGCTCTCCAGATGCCTCCCAAGGGTTGGGGCACCTTCTGTGAGCCCCAGAACATGTTCTGAAGGTCCATTCCCAGTAGGTTCCAGAGAGCACTTTTCTCTGTCACTATGAATGGGAGGCCCTGCTGTCTCCTTGATGCGCGAATGCTCCCAGCACCGGGAGCTCAGTCTAGAAGGGCTGCCCCGCGTTCCTTCTGAACCCACAAGCTTTGCCACTGCCCAGCTCTGGGAGCGGCTTCAATTTGTCCAAAATCTGGAAGAAATCCAACAAGATCCATGGAGCTAGGGTGTTCAGATCAAGTCCCTGCTCTTCCCTAAGCTGTTTCCTTCTCTCACCTCTAACCAGGGGTTTCTATCTGGCATGCAGTAGAAGCCTCCCAACCTTAGATGCAGCTGGGGAAGAATTTGATTCCAAGGATGGCATGCCTCCAAGATTCTTGGCCACCATTATTTATTACCAGACTTCCATTAGTCATTGACACTATAAATACAGCTATAGCTTCCTCCACCAGAGAGCCCAGATGGCCCAGAGAGGAAAGGAACCCTCACACACGTGCACTAACCCCACCCTCCAGGTCAGCCACAGCCCAATGGTTTGCCAAAAACATCTGCCCCGAGTGAATTTCCATACTGAGCAACATAGACTCCAGGCTAGGAGCAGACAGCTGCAAACGAGAGATCTGGAAGGGTCTCCAACAGGAAGGGACTGGCAGGTGCAAAAAAAACAGGATCACACAAATGAAAAGGTCCACCACACCTTCTGAGCACCAAGGATAGGAACCTGTTTAGGATGAACCAGGTAATCCTCTAAGGAGGGAGATGGACGTCCCAGCAGTCAGTGAACTCAGAGGTTTTGATAATTAAGAGAAATAATTTTTCCACATCACAGAATGGATGGGGAAGAGGAAAGCCTCATGGAGTGATAGGCATTTGACATTCCTTAAACAAAGGGAACGAGGTACAAGGAATGGACCCACCGAGAATCGTCGCATCTGTGATGTCATAGAGGGGCAGGTTTGCAGTGATTCCAGGCAGCCCAAGGAAGGAAAGTCCTGCCCTAGTCTGAGGCCCTGCAGCGCTTCCATTCCGCTGTGACCCTATTCAACAAGTAGAGAGCTGATCGGCCAGAAGAAGAAACCCATCTAGATGATTCCATAAACTATTCTAGAAGGTGCCAGGAAGGTCCAGTTGGTATTACTATCAGGCCCAAAGAGGGGCCAAGGAATGGCTGTCTGTGAGACAATCATAAATGAGCTGCCTCATTTGGGATAGAGATAGCAGCCTCAGCATGAGACAGAACTGGACATGGGAGGAAAGACGAGGTTAAAGGCAATACCTTCCTGCTGGGTCAGGATCCTGTCCAATGATTTCTGCAAGGACAGAACATCACATCTAAGAAATAGTAAGACAGGCGAAGATGCTTGGGTCAGGCAACTAACTAGTAGCCTTTCTCTGCCTCACTTCTAAGTGCAACAGAGTACAGACGTTCCCCCTTCAGAGTCCTACCTAGGGGTACCTCACCGGAGCGGCAGGGATTCCTGCAGCAGGTGAACCCTACATTCAGCATTTGCATCATAAACTTGACCAGTAGACTTCATTGTTTAACTGCTTGTACATGTTTTCTCTGGTCAGCCTCTGAGGTCAGAGCCAGTTTCAACCGCACTGCTTCACTCCTACTTAGGGGTCCCTCATGTGTACTGGGGACAGCTTGTGTTAGGACCAGGAGCTTAAGGGAGCAAATGACATTCTCTGCTTTGTGCTGTCTCCTGCATGTTTGGTTTACTCATATGCCTAAGACTGCTCTGGCCTCAGCCCACCTCCCTTGGGCCTCCCACCACACATTTGAGGGCACGGCCCGCTTGTCTGGGGCCTAGCTGCTCAAGAGAGGGTCCACTGGAGTGGCGACTGCTTCTCTGTCCTGTTGTCATCCAGCAGGTCGGCCTAGGCAGGTTTTCCAGAGAGAACAGAGAAACCTGTCGTGCCTCTTGGGGCACAGGATTGCTTCTGCCACATTTTACTAGCCAAATCGTAGGGGCTATAGCTTCAGGAAGAAGGAAATGGACTCCATCTCTCTCTGGGAAGAGTGGCAAATATGAATCGTGAGCCTAGGGTGATGGTACACACCTGTAATCCCACACTAGCAAGGCTGAGGACAGAGGGTTATGAGTTCAAGACTAGCCTGAACTACAGTCAGAAAAACAGGAAAATGGAGATAGGGAGGGATGGGGGGGGGGGGAAGGAGAGAGAGAAATCAAGTACATTGTAAAGGGGTTTGACCCTCGGAAGAAAATAGGTGTAGGCCTTTTTGTTAGCCATCTACCAGAGACGGGTGGACATTCACCCTCTAGGGAAGATTCAGCTAGAAATTGCCAAACAAAAAGTCCCCTGAAACACATCTGTAAAATCATGACCAGCAAGTTACATGGTGAGAGCATTCAGATACATTCAGTCCTTGGCATCTGAGAGACATTGGTTCCAGGACTTCCTCCCTCCTGTATGATGCCAAAACGCAGGCATGCGCAGATCCCTTACATAAAGGGTAGAATGGTACCTGTTGGAAGAGTTCTTGCCCTGTTCTTGAACCAGAACTCAACACTCAGAATCCACAACGCTCAGAAACGCGCGCGCGCGCACACACACACACACACACACACACACACAAGCACACACTATTAAAATGGTGAAGTCCTTGCATATAATCTACATCTATCCTCCCACGTACTTTAAACCATCTCTACATGACTCATATAACCTAGTCCAATGTCAATGCTATGGGAATAGTTCCACTGTACTGCTTAGAGGAAACCGACAAGAAAAACGTCTGTATGTATTTGGTACAGCTATTTTCAATCCTCAATTGCTGGGAGTCTGTGGATACAGAGGCACATAGTCGGCTTAGATTTTTGTCAGGATAGTTGCAGCAGGCAGAATCCCATCAGAAAAACAAAGCCAAGGACGATCAGTTCAATAGTGATTTCATCCAAGAGCCTAGTTAAAAGGTGACAGGAGAGCTGGAAGAGATTGCTCGAAACTGCCGCTTCCTTGGGCTGAAGGGACAAAAGAGAAGAAAGTCATAACTCTCGCTGTAACCTGGAGCCCAGCAAGGCTAACGCCCTAAGCTGAAAGAGTTGATGCAGGCCCACCTCCCACCTCGGTTTCTCTCTTCGTCAGAACACCAATCTTCTGCTAGTGTCTCCCATTGGCTACAGCTACCAGGAAGACAGTGAGTTGGGGATCCTGGGAAATGTAGTTCATAAAACTCAGGGCCGTACACGCAAGCCGGCAGAGTATGGAACCAAGCCTAGAGAAAGAAATGGCAAGTTCACTGTGGGAATGGGAAGGTTTCCCCAGTCTACCTAAAACAGGAGACTGCCTCAGGCAAGACCTCTGTGTATGAGATCCAGACCTCAAGAGAGGGGAGAGTAGCAAGGGGAAGACTGTGATGGGCTATCCCCAACAGAAAGTAGATAGCCATGGAAAGACTTAAAAATAGAAAATGACCCGTGTCCTGGGAGCCAGGATGGCTGCCTTCCCCCGCTGCAGTTCTTAAGCAGTAAGAGCAGGAGCCACACTCTAGCAAAGGGGCTGGTGGCTGCTGCAGCTTCAGATTAAACATGAGTTGGCTTAGGCACCAAGTACCATGCTTTAGGTAGACTGTCTCATTCTATCCAGTCACAACGCCCTACACTAAGCATCGAAGATGTTCCTGTAACACCCAGAGAAGTTTCATAGAAAAAGTAAAAAATACACCAGGTGTCCGTGGATAACTGAATAAAGTTACAATTCTAAAACTGAAAAATGAGAACATCCCCAAAGTTCTGAGTGTGTGTGTGTGTGTGTGTGTATAGTGCATGTGTGTATGCATGCACGTGTGTGTACATATAGTCGTTATATATGTGCACATATATGCACGTGTATTGTATATGCATACACACACACACACACACACACATATAAAGCCCAATTAGACTTTTGAGCCATGAAAGTCTTCTGTAAGTAGGTAAAAACATACCACACGTACATACAACTCAGTAGGCATGTTTTTGTCAATATTTATTGAATTTGACATTTGAAAAGTTTTCCATGACATTATATTTTAGAGAAAGAAATAGAAGGCCAGAGAGGTGAGATCATCTGTCCAGGATCACACAGCTTATTAGTGAGCTGTACCTCAGTAGCGGGAGAACTGATGTTTGTCCGTCTGCTCTTACGATGTCCCAAGATTAAATAACTATGGAGCCATTAGAGAGAGAGACCCTCACTATATCCATGTTATCTCAATGGGTACATAGTGATAGAACCAAGTTTACACACACCTCCACCCGTAGCATGGATGTCAACGCCAGGTTTGTCTAGCTCTCCCCGTGTGTGTCTTTCAATGTGTGGGAAATACCCTATGGTGAGGAGAAGCAGGACTTACCCATCTAGTCCCGTGTGATGTGGAGTCTCAGAAGGGTTGGGTCATTTACTCAAGGTCACACAGCTGGCTGGAGGGAAACCACAGGGCCCCCCAGAGCAGCCACAAGGCTGTTTCGTGGGCTGCTTCCCCTGGTCTAGAGTGCCCCTTTGCCACCAGGGAGTTTCGACAGCTCAACCCTAGAGGACACAAAGGGTGGAGTTCAGTTTTTCATAATTCTTTCCCAGGTTGCAGGCAAGGACGTTCCAGTCAAAAGTAGAAATGTATCAAGTGTAGTTTTTCTCTTCCCCACCCCCAGTGCGTTAGGATGCTTTGTTCGCCCAAATTAATAAAAATCATTTTGCAGGGGAAGAAAAATAGGCAACCTGCCAGTTTCCTGTTCTCATCTGTACATTTCCTGGAAAAAGGTATCCAGGGTTTCATTGATCAGGGTGGGGGTGGGGCAGTTTCCAACCCAGGGCACCATGACATAGGCAAAGCCAAAGGCCAGATCACCTTAGCTGGGGTCTAACCAGTGTCCACCTGCTGCAGACCCCTAAGGTCTCTCTTAGCCATAATTTTTTTTAGTGTTATAGCTGCTTTCTCCACGCCCACCTTATTAGCAATTGAAACATGCCAGGGCTCCTATGGGCTCTTTAGGGTGGTGGTGAGACTCTTCTAGAAGACAAGTGCTACAGGGGATGGAGTATTTGTCTGTGGTTAGCAGACAGCGGGGAACAGGCTCTTCTTTTTCCCTCACTCAGACGGGGTAGCACAATCAGAGCTAGCTCCTAACATGTACAAGGATGGGGCGGGCATGGTGGCACACACCTTACTTCCAGCACTGAGAGGCAGAGGCAGGAGGATCTCTGTGCATTCAAGGCCAGCTTGGTCTATATATCTAACTCCAGGACAGCCAAAGCTACACAGAGAGACCCTGTCTCATAAAAACCTAACAAAAACAAAAGCTCGTGTAAGAATAGAGGATGGTATAGGAGTTGGCTTCTGCTTTATTTAACAATAACAAAAAAGCAAAAATTTAGTGGTTAGCACATTTAACTTATATTGACCGCGCAGGTTGGGTTTGGCTGGGTAACTTTTCTGTTCCCAGTTGGCATGCATGCATGGGCATCGTTGGCTTGCTGCTGGGCTTCTTGGGACTTGCTGGTCTGGGATCGCTCATCGGAGATGGTGTATCTCTGCCCTCAGAGTCTGGCTCTCTCTTTGCAGGATGGTCTAAGCAGTGTGGGCTTCATACAGGAGAGCTGCCCGAGTCCCAAGTGAAGCACATTAAGATGCAGAGTCTCCAGCGGTCACATTCCAAAACGACTGGGTCACTGAAGGGCATCAGTGCCATTGTTGAGCGACAGGTACTCAGGGCTTGTAACCTAGCAGTGAGACCTGGAGCGCTTTCTGCAGATGACTGACCGTTGAGTATTTACATGGACCATGTTGACAGCCAAAGGGGAAAAAAATGCTTTTATATTTATAGATTATTTCATTGAATTATATGTAAAATGGGTATCAATAAATGTATTGATTCAATGACAAAAAAGATGCAGGGCCTCTGGAAATCCAGGCTTAGCACTGCATGAAGTCACTCCCCTATTCTAACCCCAGACAACGAAGGGACTAGGAATCATCCCCAGTTCTTTATCAAAGTGAAGTTGCCAAGGAACATTAGATACAGAGAGCATTAGATGCAGAAGAAATGTCACCGGGTCTACCTGAAAAGGCTCTTCCCTGACATTCACTCTAATTCTTTCAGGAGAAAAGTAAGAAGTAAGAGCTTTGAAAAAGAAAATTGCCCCCCCCCCGTGTTAGAATTGAATATTCTCTGCAAGTAAGGGTGTGTGGTACAGGCTGGGCCCACCTACTAAACACAGACACAGGAGAATGCAGCAGCAGGCCCAGGAACGGCTAGCTACTAGCTACTAGCTCGACTTTGAAAGAGCCCACCTTCACCTGCTCCGGGATTTCATAAATCATTCTAGCTTGACATTGACCACGGTGGATAAGAATATTTACACCGTGAGATTTGGCTGGCTGTACTCCTCAGGTGCTTTTTCTCCCAGACAGCTGTTTTCCCAGCATACCATGGCCTGCAAGCCACGCAGACATTACCTCTTCCAAATGAATAAGCAGGACAATCTGATACAACATAGAAAATGGTAGCATACCAGTCAGACATGGTGATGGCAATGCCCAGAGTGAATCGGCATGAACTGAGGCTGGAGAGTGTCAGGAAAGGATCTCAGGGTCTCCACAGGGTGAAAATGAAGGCGTGCATCACAAGAAGATAGGCTTTTGAGCTAGACGTTGGAGGAAAAGTAAACACCACCACAGGAGAGGTGAGAAGGCAGCTCGCACATGGGAAAAGACCAGGTGAATGGGCAGCTAGACCTGCAGAGGTACTCAGACCTCGGAGGTTTATTTCACTGACAGCCTGACTTTGAGTGATGGAGAACCCTACACAAAATAAAGTCATTTAATTTTTCAGTACTTGCTCCAAATCTCAGAGAACAAGTACAAATGTTCCCCAGGGCTTCTCTTCCCCTCGGAAAGAGCACACATCTGGATTTGACCTCCACATCTCCATTCACGGTGTGAGCTTGACCATGCTGCCTGATCTTTCCTGATTTCCAACCCAGAAAAACGAAGCAAAGCTAGAATCGAAGCTGCAGGAATTCATTAGGAGATGACAGCTGAACCAGAGTGGGATCCAGGGTGGTGGCTGCCTGGGGGATATGGCACAACAGTGGGGTGATGACAATGATGGTGATGGTGTGTGTGTGTGTGTGTGTGTGTGCGTGCTCGGGTGTGTGCTCCTGCCCAGATGTGAATGCGAATGTCAATGTGTGTGTTGGGAAAAGCAGGAATTTTCCCAGGCTCTGACTCAAGCCTCCCTGGGTCTCCACCTGTTGTCTCCAAAAAGCAAGGCCTCTCCTTCCCAGCGTTGGGTAGACAGTGTGGCCGAGGTAGGAACAGGACCCAGGCAGCCTAGACCTTGTGGTGTGTGTCCCAGTGTGGGCAGCTGCGACAAGTCTTGACTGCTTCTGACCACCTGCACCGAGGAGCCACTTCAAACAAAGGATCTCGCGCAGGTGGTTGCCCCAGACCTCAGTCCACACCCACAGGTGGAACAGTACAGCCACCTGCAGGAAAGGGTCTCTTCCGGACTGGACCTGACCCCTAGGGGATCAAGGGACCAGTTCACAGGTTGCCGCTGGGGAGGAGTTGGCACGGGAAGTCCCCTAGGTCAGTGATCTAGCAAATATTTGTCAGATCGATATTCAGGACTGACCTATTAACTGCAAACATTAAACAAGCGCCGCGTCGGGATGGTGAGAAGCAGCAAGCTGGCTCTGAATGTCTGTCTGTCCCTGGGTCCCCAGGAAGTGGTTCCCTGTTACCCCGTCCACCCTTTCCCTCCTTCTGCCTGGGTCCACTGGTCCTCCACACCACACACCTAACCTGAAGCTCTCTGTTTTGCTCTTAGAAAGGATATGCTCCTCGCACACCTCGTTATCTTCCTCCAGAGAGTAGCCAGCAGTCAGTCATCCAGGGAGCCTCTGGCTCTGTGCCCTTCATGTCTTGGTAAAAGACTGACTTTCATTCTATCGCCTTTCCCATACACACCCTGGGCAAGCGTGCCCAGTGGCAACCAGCTGATGAGGACCAGACATCCCTCTAAGACCCTTGAAAGAGCCCAGGAGTGAGGCAGAGAGCTAGAACAGACCTGAAGAGCTCATATTCCCCCCTGTGAAAGCCACCGAGTATGTCTCAGAGTCCAGAGCAAGGCAGGCCTGCTGAGTGCTTTGCTCCAGTTGCTGCTAGAGGGCTAAAAATACCCTGGCACTGCCAAACATCCCCCAAGGCCCAGGGGAGCCTATTGAGGAAATGGTTACCCAGCACCTGGGCTATTAAAAGGCACAGTCAGAATCAGCCAGCTTCCTAGGTGTCCGCTGTGTCCTTTGCCCTGAGATTCCGCATTCTGTTCGCACTATTGCCAAGGCCTGGGCTTTCCTGCTCTACCTCACCCTGGCAATTCTCTCTTCTCCAGGCTGGATCAGTCTCACTCCTGGCGGAGGTACAGGTTGCCCACAGAACTAAGCTTTCACAGATGCCCAACAGTATGTTGCTTGCAAAATGCAGCAGGTTGTAGAGATTTCTGGTTCCTCCAGCCGAGCTACAACTGGTTAGAAGGCCAAGACCCAGCTCCTGTAGTAGACTCTAACCCGCTAGCTTCTGCTCAAGGCATGTATTGACGCTTGTGTCCCCCAGGCTTAACCATACCAGGACCTCCAGCCTCTGGATCTGATGAAAAAAAAAATGAACCTGGGGTGGGAGTGAGAGGAGCTCCTAAGCCCTCAGTAAACAATCTTGAAAAGATTGTGGGGCTGTGAAATCCACTCCAGAACATATCCCCAAGTTGGGAACCCTGAAAATTTTTAGAAGCCAAGCACTGAACTAGACCCCCAAATGGAAAGATGAATAGAAAACTGGAGGTTGGGGTGTGGCTCAATGGTGGAGTACTTGCCTGGGAAACCCTTGCTTCTGTTCCCAGCACTGCAAGAAGTAGAAGTGGGGAGGGGAGGGCAGGACAAGGGAAGGCAGCGGAGGGAAGAAGGGAGGGGAGGGGAGGGGAGAGGAGGGGAGAGGAGGGGAGGGGAGGGGAGGGAAGGGGAAGGGAGGGGAGGGGAGGGAAGAAGAGAAGGGAAGGAGAAGGAAAATTTCCTTCAGGAAAGACATGGTGGTGCATGACTTTAATCTCAGCACTGGGGAGGCAGAAACAAGTAGATCTCTATGAGTTCAAGGCCAGCCTGGTCAACACAGCAGATCTCCAGACCAGACAAGGCTACACAGTGAGACTCTGTCTCAAAAACAAAACAATCATAAATAAATATCTTAAAATAGCTTTTTAAAAAATCCTTATACACTAAGTAAATAAATGAGTAAATAAATAGCTTCCTCTCTCCTCTTGCTGTGGAATAACCTATGGCAGATACAGGGCCTTGAAGCAACACAGACCCCATTTCTGTGAAACCAGATGGACCTGGGCCTCTTCCGGCTGTGCAAAGTAGTGTGGGACTATGGCCTCCCCTGAACGTTGACAGGGAGGAGTCTGCTTCCAGGTTGGTGGAGGCTGTCCACAGGGTTCAATTCGGCTTCTAAGTTTCTTTTTCTTTTCATCATATTTGTATTGATTGTTTGGGAATTTCACATCATGCGCCCTGATCACACTCACTCCTCAGTCCTCCCAGGTCTGCCCCTCACCCCTGTGACCTCGCTGTAGGACTCAGCCATGATACGTTTAATAGGAACAGTGAGACCCACTCCAAAGATAAAGAAGAAGAAAGAAAAAAACCAAAACACACAAACAAAAACATACCCACAAGTCTTTCCCCAGCTGCACCCCCGCCAGAAGCTCTCAGTGGTGCAGAGCTGCACTTCAATATCCCTATCACAATCTTTAGGAGTTCTCATCAATGGTTTCCTATCTAGGCTGTTGTTTATTTGTTTGGTGGTGGGGTAAGTGTTGTCACTGGTGCCGTCCATGTCCCTCTCAGCTGTGAGTCTGCAGTCACTGATGCCAATGCAAAGCAGCTTCCTTGTCCTTTGCAGTCAGCGGGAGCACAGATCACAGAATACCATACGATATCTCTGTTGACAGCATGGACCATGGGTGTCAGCACGGCCCTCTGCCACAGCCCAGGCCACAGACACCATCATAGCCCTCAGAGGTAGCCCATGGACGCCCACATGGCCCTTGGTGGTAACTAGCACGCAGTCTTTTCTTACACCAGTCATTGCCTTGAAGTATCTAGGTCCACCTCTCTGTTCTCCCAGCTTTCCCTACCCTTCCATTGCAGATTTGTTCATTGTAGTGGCATTGGAAAAGGCAGTACGTCAGGACGCAGTATGCCCAAACAGTTTACATACAAATAGTCATTGCAGTGAGTCATTGGCAAGGTTCAAAGATTCTGGTTTCTGACGTACCATCAATACAGGACCATTGCAGGGACTCATCTTGCTATTGCCCAAAGTCAGGATGATCTCGTGGCTAAGCAGGGCATTAGGGGGGAGATTCCAGGATGTCACACACCTCTCCACCCTCAATGTCGGCCTCCCCGAGACTTGTTGGGCTCTACCTTTGTGTTTGTATCCTAAGGGCAGCACCACTGCACCCTCCTACCCCCCAACCCCTTCTACTACCATCAGGGCAAACAGTGTGGGCTGCAGTTGTAGCAGCTCCAAGCTGGAAGTCACCTGGTGGACCAAGGACTGGCCCTATTCAGTGATGACATTGTTTGGTCGGAAGCATCACCCCAGCTCCCTAACACCCCATTATCAAAAAATCTGGATTGTTTGCCTGGGGGCTTCACTCCAGCTCTTGGCATAAGCCTCCTTTTCCTGGGAGTTGCCTCAGTCCAAACCCCACCTCCGAGAAAGGCCACCAAACAGTGACCCCTCCCCAGGGAGGGTCAAGAAAGCCTGCCAAATGGTAACCCCTCCCCAGGGACAGTCAAGACCACTCCCACAGGCCATTCAAACTGCCCCCCCAGAGAATGAACACATGGTCTCCGGGTTTCACGTGGTCTCCCCTTCTGTCTCCATGTTTTCCCAGGGCCACCCAGGAGTAAGGTAATCTATTAAACATGGGCATCTTTTAATTCAGTTTAACTCAATCTGATTGGAATTATTTGCACCAGTTGAGAGGTTCTTCTAAGAGAAACTACCTAACTGGTGTAGGAGGTCCTTCTGTATTTGTGTTGCTTTCATTGGGTGAATAAAGAAACTGCCTCAGCCTTTTGATAGGGCAGGCTTCAATAGGCAGAGTAGACAGAACGGAATGCTGGGAAGAAGGACAGACAGGCAGATGCCATGGTTCTCCTGCCCGAGATGGACGCTGGTTAGACTCATGCCGGTAAGCCACTGTCAAGTGGTGATGCACATTAATGGAGATGGTTTAAACTAATATATGAAAGTAAGCCAATAAGAGGATAGAAATAAAGGGCCAAGCAGTGTTTAAATGAATACAGTTTCTGTGTGATTATTTCAGGTGTAAGATAACGGGGCGGCTGGAACAAAAATCAGGCATGCACAAGCAGGAGAGCATGGTGGATTCCAGCCACCATACACAGAGATATTTCCAGGCTGCACAGGGCTCTGAGTGGCAGATTTGACTGTAACTCAGATAAAAAGCGTTTATGTGCTACACACTCATTCTCCGGGTTGGACTGCTGAGCACAGCTCCTGCCTGGCGGCCCCAGAGCTAAAAGAAATGGTACGTCCACCATTTTGAAATTGGAGAGAGGTGGAGCCAACATCCAGAGCAGCTCCCTCCATCAACACCTAACAGACATCTGGTTCTGTAGGACTGGCTCCTCCATACACTCCACTTCAGCAGCTCATGGATGGAGGTAGATGTTGGGGTAGATCAACTCAAAACACTGGATCTGGGCCCAGATGACAGTGGAGTTGGTTAGCCTCTGGCTTCTTGGGGACTTTCCACTGCTGTGCTCTTTCCTAAGTTTCCCACACGCTATGGGGGCCTCCAGCCCCCAGGACCATCTACAGTTCCCTGCCTAATGTCCTCTCCACTGGTGACTCACAGCACAATGGTTAGATTTGTAAGCAGAGCAGAATACTGAATACAGATAAAGTCTTCCCAGATGGATGCTTATATGATAAGAAAGATGAGAATCTCATAGTCATGTTTCTTATAGGAAGCAAGTCACAGTTTTGACCCACAATCAAGAGGTGGGTCAAAGGTCAGAAGGCAAGAATAAAGGTCTGTACTGTAGCACCATCTTGAAATTCCAGCAAGATTTAGCAGGAAGAAAAAAAGGAAGGAAGGAAGGGAAGGAGGGAGAGAGGGAGGGAGGGAAGAAGGAAGGAAGGAAGGAAGGAAGGAAGGAAGGAAGGAAGGAAGGAAGGAAGGAAGGA